TATATGTCCAAAGGAGGCTCAATCGTACACAAAGACATGTTCTCAATTATGTTCATAGTAGCATTGTTCGTTATAGCCAGAACCTGGAAACAACCTAAATGCCCCTCGACTGGAGAATGGATAAGGAAAATGTGGTCCATTTATACAATGGAGTACTACACAGCAGAAAAAAATAATGATATATTGAAATTTGTAGGCAAATGGTTGGAGCTAGAAAACATCATTTTGAGTGAGGTAACCCAGACCCAGAAAGATAATTATCACATTACTCACTCATAAGTGTTTTTTAAACCTAAAGCAAAGTAAACCAGCCTACAAATCACAATCCCAGAGAACCTAGACAACAACGAGGACTCTAAGAGAGACATACATGGATCTAGAAAGTAGAAAAAGTAGAAAAAGACAAGATCTTCTGAGTAAATTGGGAGCATGGGGACCTTGGAAAAGGGTTGAAGGGGAAGGGAGAGTCAGGGAGGGGAGCAGAGAAAAAATGTAGAGCTCAATAAAAATCAATAAAAAAATGAAGTTGAGTCAGTACTTTAAAGAAAAAAATAGGATAACCTTAGGAAATCTTCCTTAATAATAAAACTAGGATGATTCCAATAAATGTCTATCTTTATTTTATAAAAGAAATGTTTATTCTCAAAATAAATATTTTCATAAGCACACAAAGGCAGAATGTCTGCCATTTTTAAAATAAACATTGAGATTAAAGTCTTTTCCTGTATAAGAGGAAAGGATTCCATGGAGTTTACGCTTGACAAGACAGGGATGAAGAAATCACGTTGCATACCCGGTACTCAAGCAACACGTATGCGCAAGAAGGGCGTGGCGCTGGTGCCTAAACCTGGTCCTGGCTTCTAGCCTAGGTGGTCTTTCCTCCCTGAGGTCTTCCGTCCTGTGGTATAAAAGAGCCCATTGAACAGCCATGCAATTCATGACCACACTTGAAGAAATAAAGAAAATACTTACTGATCTTTTCTCTCGCCCTCTCTCTGGAGCCCAGGTTGGCCTTAAACTTCAAAGATAGAGATTACAGTCATGTGTCACCTTTTACTTTTTCCTAAAATCTGTGCCACAGTATAGACCTTATTATTTAAAACAATAACAATGCAAAATATTCATAATGAGTGATAGGTTATAGAATCAAATTAATCAAGACATATAAATAATACACTTTGAATATAATTCCACCTTCAAACTTTAGGCGGTTCCATCTCACGGCCTGAAAGGAGGGGCCTGCGAACGGAAAGGGTGAAGATATATGCACAGGTACACAAAGACACCAAGGGGGAAAGGCGAGGGACATGGGAAGAGTTCTTCTGGCCTCAGAATTGCAGGCAAATATATTTGGCCTTTTCCTACTGTTTCCCTCTCTGGCATCAACCTCCGGTACCGCTTCTCAAATGCAAACTAGAATTCCCTCTTATCACTGAGCTCCCAAACTGCCTAGATTTAGTGGCCATGTTCTACATGGGATCCACACATCTGCCTGCCAGAGGGGAAACGTGTCTTCAGCTGCAGGACCAGAGCTTCGCTGTGTGTATTCCATGAGGCTATGCATGCTCTACTGGCAGGATAGTGAACACACTGGGGCAGTGTGGGCATCTGTCCAGGGATCTCCACCTGATGGGCTAGGACAGCACACTCCAGTGTGGGTCTCTGACGTCAGCTTCTAGAAAGTTCAGTTTTAACCCACTCTTAGCAGGACTTCTCATACAAAATCAGGCTATGACTGGTCCAGATGCTTTTCCACGCAGGGCTTCAGAATTTACCACAGAAGAACATGTATTCATAGTCATTGATTTTCAGAAGGGAGGCTTTTGTTTTTATAATGAATGTAGTCATTTTCTTCTAATTCTTTTCTACCTCTTTGAAGTTTTCTTTCTTTCTTTCTTTCTTTCTTTCTTTCTTTCTTTCTTTCTTTCTTTCTTTCTTTCTTTGTTTCTTTCTTTCTTCTTTTACTGTTTTATCTCCTCAAATTGCCCTAACCTGATATTTCACATGTTACTTTATTTTACATACCCTGCACATGTGGAAAGCTTTGTTTTCATTGTGTCTGTTATTCTTGGCCTACAACAGCTACGAAGGCTACTGCAGTCCAATATGCTTGTGTTCTGACTTAAAAGTGCTGAGCAGGCACAGGGCTTCTGTGGTAAGCAGATGGTTTTGGGGAGCTGCTTGAGTGGTATTATATGATAAACCAACAAAGGACGCTCAAACAGAGCAACTACACCTCTGTCCTGGGATAATAAAGCTGTGGGTGCCTCCTTGTCATGTGTTTTCTAATGGTTGGCTTAGAAACAATTTTTACTTTATCCAAGGGAAACCATTGTGGGAAAGCTGTCCTTTCTGGAACAGCTTGTTCTCTCGTGTTCTCTCTCTCCCTCTCTCCCTCTCTCTCTCTCTCTCTCTCCCTCTCTCCCTCTCTCTCCCTCTCTCTCCCTCTCTCTCCCTCTCTCTCCTTCTCCCTTTCCCTCCCTCCCTCCCTCCCTCCCATCATCGCTCCCTCCCTGTCTCATTCTATAATAGCCATAGAAACACAAATGCTTAAAATACATTCTTTGAAAAGCCTTAGTAACTTATTAACCAGCCCAGGTGTAACCCTTGTAAAAGTTACCCCATCTCTCCTGAGGTTGCTGGGAGTGAGATTTTCATCTCACACATAACACTTTTATATTTATGTAAAAATAAAATATAGGTGTTATATTTAGCATTTTACAGGTGTCTTGAAGGTATAAGGATTTATATGAGGGTTGCCTTCTTAATGGCATTCTGAAAATTCTCTGCCCCCAGAGTCTAGCAGTTCTGAGGTGTTAGTTGTACCATTAGGCTCTCTTTCTAGGCTTCTTGGCTTACTACCCTGACTGTTTGAATTTCACTTATTATATTTTTGTTGGTGGGAGTCATCTAGTCCGGTATATTTGGGATCTCCACCATTTTGATGCTTTCTTCCCTTCTTACCCTCAGCTTACTTACCGAGCAGTCATTTGACAGCCCAGCCCAAATGTGGCACTGGTTTGCAGTTGCTGGACTTGTTGTAGGTTATTTGGTTGCAGTCTAAGTTTCAGTGATTTAAACTCTTCTGGAAAATTAGACAAACATACATAATCTGTCCCCTTTCGATTGACTTTTGGATCACACTTAGAGGGCAGATAGGTAGGCAGATTTGTGATAAGGATGAATGTTAAGGACCAGACCTGCTTGCTTTGGTTCGTTTTAGGACAAAGTTTATCTTATGGCCACGTTAAGGAAACTTTATTTTCCCAAGGAAACATTTTGAGGCAAAGTAGAAATGTAGTTCATACTAAAAGGTGGGATGTTAATGCAGATAAAGACCGTGATGAGTCACCTTAAATCACTTAGAGTGACCAGTGATGGGATACTATAGCCGGAGGCTTTTCTGCTTCCCACCCGGTCTCGCAGCTGCTTATAAAATAATCACTCAGAGGCTATATATTAATAGTAATCGTTTAGCTGATGGCTCAGGCTTATGACTGGCTACCTCTACTTATAAATCATCCCATTTCTATTAATCTGCATATCTCCACATGGCCTGTGACTTACCGTAGATGCCCTGACATCTTTCTCCTCCTGTGGCTGCTGGCATTTCTCTCAACTCTGCCTTTTTTCAGTTTGGCCTTCCAGCCTCATGCCGTTCTGCCTGGCTACTGGACAATCAGCTTTACTCATCAACCAATAAAAACAACACATATTAGCAGCTTACAGAAGGACGTCCCACATCAGGTGACTGCATCTCTGCAGCCATCCTGTTCCAAGCATTTGATACAGTATTCTGTACCTTGTGAGACCATTCACATTTTGTTGTAACAGGAACTTTGTGTCCAATGAGCTTGCAATCCTAAGCTCATATCAGGACTCTATCCATATTCCATACAGGCTGAGCTGTGATACTTGGGAGGTCAGAGCAAATAAATGTGTTTTTGATTTCTGATATTTATCTCTGGCTTAGGATGAGTTTATCTGTAGCCCTACCTTAAGTCCAGGAGTATCTGTTTGCACACCTGTCTGATATCAAAATGCTTTCTGCCATGACTGTGTGGTTTTGACCTGTATCTCTGTTTCTGGAGGTAGTCCAGAAGTTGCACTCAAACCAGCTAGATAGGGAAGAGGGGATCCCCACGTTTGTGGGTGGTTTAGTCCCAGGTATTCTGTGCCCACATACCTGGTTGCCCTGCTTTGCAAGTTGCAATGTCAGCGGGATTCTGTTGTCCTCATTTGTTTCTGGCCCTGGGCGTTGGGTCTGACATTGGTCTTTGTATTTTTTTCTTTCATTCCTGGATTGTCACTCTTCCAACCAGCCTTGCCTTGTGCCTGCCCCTTCTGTTGGAAAGGCTTGGTTTATTTCTTCAACTCACACCGTCCTCTTGACTCTGTCAAGGATGGTCCTTGTGATTGTGCAGTCTTCTAGGTGAAATGTGGATAAACACTCTGTTCGTGTAGCTCTGATCTTCAGAAAATGTCTCAAACTCAAGGATGATGAAGTCTTTCAGATGCCATATGCCTTGAGTTTGTTCTTTAGAGAAATACGATATATTCATCTTATATTCTGAGAGTTTTTCTCCATAACTTATAGCTATTCTCTGCTAATTATGCTTCTAATTTTTCTTGAGAACAATGAAGTGAAAAACTGTCTTTGAATTTTTGCATAAGTAAATTTATGGGAAAGGAAAAGTGTTTTCTTTCTGGAGTTATCTTGATACATTTCAAGGCTTCCAAGTGTCAAAGTATTAGAGTTCAGAAGTCACCATGAACCATTAACCATTTTCTTCCTCTCTTGACAGTTTAGATGTGTTTAGAGTGTCTAAACTATGCCTTACTGGTAAAGAGTAATTTTTTTTTCCTTCTTTGACCCTTATAACTCAGCCTCTATTTACCCTTAGAGACCCTTTTAAAGGTGAGATTCATACTTGGATATGAAGAATGAATGGCTAACACACTAAACATTGAAATTGCGCCTTCTATGTTTTTAATCACAGAGTTGACTCCTGAAGAGAGAGCCCAAAAGATCGCCAAGGCTATGCGCAAGCAGTCTTCTGAAGTCAAAGAGAAGTGGGAGAGTCTAAACGCCGTGACGAGCAACTGGCAGAAGCAAGTGGGAAAGGCGTTAGAGAAACTCCGAGACCTGCAGGGAGCCATGGATGACCTGGACGCGGACATGAAGGAGGCTGAGGCTGTGCGGAATGGCTGGAAGCCCGTGGGAGACCTGCTCATAGACTCGCTGCAGGATCACATAGATAAAACCATGGTCAGCACCACTGCCTTTGACCAAGACTATTTAAGGAATGTTTTGCTGTGGCATAGAGCACAAATAATGAGGCCCACATACAGAAATCATTATAAGGGATTCTAATAAAGCTGACACCACTTCAGCTCCCCACCCAAGTCAGGAATCTTGGCAGATGTTTTCCATATGTGACATTCCCCCAGAAAACATTAAGGTGCCTTTTATAATAATTCAGCTTGTTTAAACATTGTTAAAATTCCACTTGAGTATCCCTAAATAGTGTAGATTAGGTTTACCTATTTAAAACAAAACAAACAAGACCTCCCCCAACTTCTAAACTTCACTTGGTTTCACAATATGCTTTCCAATTTGTTTTCTTTATTTTCTATTCATTTGTTAAAGAAATGGAGTGTTTTTTTTTTTTAATTATTCCCATAGCCTAGATTTAACAGAATCATACCCATGTGGCACAGCCTCCAGGTCCTGTCTCCTAGACACTGGTGGTTGGATTTAGAGGTTTAATAAAAAAACAAACTGCTTTCACAGGAATTCTCATCTATAATTTCTATCTTATTGTCTGAGTAAATGAAAAATGAATTTAGTTATAAATTTCTTTTATAATCAGAATTACCCAAGGTTAAGGATATTAGTTGTATGGTGTAAATCTAGTTTGGTTGTTCGTATTCTACAGCATCTTCAGGGAGAAAAAGTAATGAAATTTAGGCAGTAAAAAACACACATTACAACTTGAGAGTATAGCAAGGTTTGTATAGTCATGAGTCATGCCAGAGGATGAGCCACGAGAAACTCAAAAGGGATGAGTTTAATGCTATCTATCATGCATGGAATTTTTATTGCAAAAGGTACACATCTTTTGTTCACAGACACTAGGTAACATCCTTCCTTTACATGAATGTGGCTGAGTAGAAAGACAAGCTCTAGGAAGTTAATTTAATACTTGAGCCAGTGACATAAGTATTCTGTACAGACATAGGAGTAGCAATGACTAGCATTCATGGAGGCTTATTATTGCTTGCCAAGAACTGTTCTTCGTCATTTCATGTGGATGTCTCTTTCAGTCCTCACGTCATCCCAACAAGGTGGGTATTATTTCATGAAAACAAAACTGAAAATATTGCTCAATCCCACATAGCTAGGGAAGAGGTAAAGTGCTTGTAATTTTTTTTTCTTATATGTTCTATTCTTGCACTGTAGAGACCTCTTTGATTCTAATGGTGCTAAACACAACCTTGACCAAGCCTTTGAATTTTAACCCTCTAAATTTTAAACACTTTTAAAACTTCAAACGTTAAAGTTTATATTTAAAGCAGGTGTTACAAAGAATATTAGTGTTTGCCATTTTTGACGGATGTTTTTCTGGCTACTCAGTGAATTAATTAGGCCTCTCCAAAACCCATAGCATCCTAAAATGCTTTCCGCTGGGTACACACTAATTTAAAATAGTCCAAGAAAAACATACGCATTAGTTTATCAGTGCAGCTTTTTCCAAAGCTGAATATTTCTTATATTGTTTCCTATTTATGTTAGGTAGTGTGTATTGTATTTGAGGCCTTGTAGATTCTGGGCAAATGCAGTACCGTTCAGCTGTAGGCAGACCTTTTTTACTTTTCATTTTGAGTTGAGATCCTGCTAGGGTGTCTGGGCTAGCCTCAAACTCACTCAGTAGCCCCAATAGACCTTCGTCCTGCAGCCTTCCTTCCTCAACCTTCCAATTACCTGGGATTACAGACCTTTGGTACCACGCCTGGCTTAATTAATTTTAAACAATGAAAAATCTTTTAATGCTTTACAATATGCAGATAGTATCAAAAAACGATAACAAAATACTTCTAGATTTGAGTGGGATTTTACCCATTTGAATTTGAAAGTATTACTTTTAAAGTTGGGATGATTCCTGTTGACAAAAATAAAAATTTATAGCCGAAGGGGGAAAAAATCCAACAGTTTGGTAATTGTTAGTCTTATTTAATTAAAGGAATCTCTGTCCTCTCCAGTCATATCCTTTTGTTCTTAATCTACTTAAGTGGGAAGAAGAAAAAAACAATTAATAGTTTAATGGGAAGAAATAAATTGGATTAAAATACTTTTAGATCTTAGGAAGTAAAGGATTAAAAATTGAGTCTCACTAAATGACATAAATTCAACATCTATGATATTTTGCATGTACACTATATATCCCATATTATACTGACAACACATGGGGAGGTAAAACTCAGTAGGAAACCTTAAATATTAGTGAACTTGTCAAAGCAGTGCTGGAGGATAAGATCTCCAGGAATAATGAGATAACTTCAGTTGCTAAAGTTATCTTTAATAATGCCGTTTTCTGTGCCTCTACCTTCTAGTCCCAGACGCCTGTGAGACGCACACCTGCTAACAGCCTAACGAACACCTTTGATAGTGGCAGATGTTTCTGTTTTTATAGCAACGAGGGCCATGTAGACTCTTATTCTCTTATAGGAAAAGCACAGTCAGAACATGATAAATGACTCCTTTATACAGGAACACATGGCAGTTCTGAAGCCATTTATAACTCCATTTATTTCAAGTCCCTTAATTTGGAAAGTCTTAAAAGGCAAAAGATAAACTTCCTTGATAGAAAGGTTCCCTGTTGCCATAAAACAGCTCACCATAAAGTGAAAACAAAGCCCAGAAGACTTTGCCTGTCAGACCACTTTCAATGTTTCCACCTATGGCTTGTAATAGGAAAAAAAAGAAAAAAAGGGGGATCTTTACACAGTAAAAAATTAAGCTTATTGTTCCTTAAGATAAAAAAAAAATGAACAAAAGCCCACCTGACTTGAAGGGAGGACGTCATACTAAAACTCCTTTATTATCTGTTGAAATAAAACTGGGTATTATTTTAAAATTATAAAACTATTAAATAGCATGTTAATCTTAATCTTTAATACCTCGAGACTAAAAGGATGTAGATTTTAAAACCTGGATCCAGTTTTTGGGTCTTTGCAGGTAACCATGGAAGAGAGTATTATATTACTCTATCGAGCTGAAAGCGTTGGTTAAGAACCCTAGAGACACTTGAATTCTGGCATTTGTGCCCCGCTGTCTCTGAGGGAATCTGGATTTCTTCGGAGTCCATGTGGAAATGCTCCCAGTCCTGCCCTAACACACACTACACTCTGTCCCCATCTGTGTTCATTGTTAATTCTTTGCACCCGCCAGACCTGTAACTGTGTGACTTCATGTCTGCCAACTGGATTTGTACATCTGTCTGCATGACCCATTGGGCCATATTTGGATGTCCAAAATCAATAGGGACAGGAAAAAAAAAACCCTGCAAGTCAAATTCTTTCCCTTCCATATTGTAGCAGGTCACATGGCTTTCAGTGCTCCCTTTCTTGTGTCTTCTTTTGATACATTGGTATCTGCTGAGGTTGGAGGTAGATCTTACCAAACACCTGTTGACATCCATGGATTCAAACATCATCCATATACTGCTGTCTCTCACACCTTGATCTACCATGCTGGTTTCAGGCTCCAGATCTCTTCCGGTAGTTTGTTCTTCGCCCCTCCTTTGGACTTAGCCACCTACCTTTGGACATGGTCAAGAATTTTAAAACACTAAAGTATATTCTCTGATTTATTTTTGAAAAAAAAAAAACAACCAACGATTCCTGGATATTGGATCTTAGTAACCATTATGATTCAGGACAGATTGTGGGGGAGGCAAAATTTTATCTCTTCCCTCTTAGACTTGTCGTTTGGTCCTAAAAATCTGACCTAAGACAGAATAGCAAAGGTAGATTTTGTTCTTTATTGTAATATCAGAAAGAAGCCTGATGAATACTGTAGCATGTGCTAGTATGTGTGTCTGTGTGCACGCGCGTGCGTGTGTGCTGAATGTAGGGAAGTGTCACTTCTCCAACAGTTTCCTTGGGACAGGAAGACTGTAAATGCTAACAGTGGTAAAGAACTGAAATCTGAGCTGTCTAGCCGTGGCTTTGGGATGGCTCTGAGCAGTCGGAACAGCCCTGCCATGACACTTGGTTTGTGTGTTTTGACACGTGCTAGTTGAAGGTCATGCTTGGGCTGGAGACACCAAGCAGGAAGTCCCACTGGTGCAAGGAAGGGGCCTCCAGGCAAGGCTGCACAGAGGTAAATGCCCTAGCTGAGTCATTTAAGGGTTTAGATAGACTAGGCAAAGACTTTGTCAGAGAAGGTGAACCATTGCTTTAGACAGGTGGGATTCTGTAGAGAAAATAGAATAATAACTATATCATTTTGTGTGTCGCATGGACCGGTGGTCACTCTTCAAATGCTTCCCAGGGTATACAGCTTTTACCTGTCTGCGCTGTACCCAGAGATCACAGTTCAGTTCTGAGACTCATCCATAGCTTTTCCATTGTGCTCTGCTTTTCCTGGTCCTCCAGGGCAGAGACTGTGATCACAGCAGGATGCGGGCCACAGAATTCTCCTCTCCAGTATCTAATAACCATAGCTCGGTAATGAGAAATGCTCTTCTCATTGGCCGCCTAACCTAAGCGTGACTGAGTTCAAGCAACTTGTTGCATTGGGTGAATAAAAGGGAGTAAGGCAGCCATGTTATGATAGAAACAATGAAGAAAGTATAAAAGTAAATTAGAATCAAGTCTAGCAACAATAGAGTGGGCGGTACTCTGTACATAAGAGAGGCTAGACAGAAATGCTTAGCTGCTCAGATGAGTTTGCATCTTGAGTTTTCTCTTTACACACACACTTAGATACTTGGGGAGTATCTGGATATATGGTTTATTAAAGGCCTGATCTAGCCAACTGTTGTCAAGAGGCCTCACAATAGCCTTCGTCTTTGGTAGGAAGATGGCAACCCTGACTTTTGTTAGTCTCCTCCAGTGACATTTTAAAACATCTCTTTTCTACCAGGCATTTAGAGAAGAAATTGCACCAATCAACCTAAAAGTTAAAACAATGAATGATCTGTCCAGTCAGCTGTCTCCACTTGACCTGCATCCATCTCTAAAGATGTCTCGCCAGCTGGATGACCTTAATATGCGATGGAAACTTCTCCAGGTACCAGCTTAGCCCCTTCAGAATGCTATCTGACACTGCCTAAAGGACGAGGAAGGGCGCTGGAAATGTCAGGAGGCTGTGCAATTGTTGATTTGCACTTAGTTTCCTTATATGCCAATTCTTTTTATATGCAAATTTTTTTGATGTGGAGGCCATTCTGTAGAATGTGCACAGACTGAAGGCCTTGGATGGTCTTTGAAACACACTTCACTTTTAACACATATATTGTCTCTTCTTTCTCTTCAATTTAGTATTTGATAAATATTTAAGTATTTGATAATGAATTTAACAAGCATCACATCACGTATTTGTCTTTCTACGTCTTGAATCCAAGGGCATCATTCACTCATGACTATGGATTTTTAGCATAATTTATATATACTTTCTATATGATACTTATAGAAAATTATACAAAATTCAAGGAGTTGTGGAAATTGGACCTATAGTCTACCACAGAAGTATTTGTCCTATAGTGGCTTGTTCAGGAAACATTTTATTACCTTTATTGTGTATTCCATTTCTTTTGGAAGGTTACAAAGTTTTTGTCCTTTCTTGACATATTGCTCACTGTTCAGGGACTTTCTGCGTCTTTACAGAAAGCACACCCGTACCCTAGCTCCTAGAACTGACCTTCCCAAAGGCAATTGTTTCAATGGCTTGCTTGTAGACTCCAGGCTTGTAGACTCCAGATTTAACTGAGCCAGGACTCACTAGTGTTCCCAGGAATGAGCACTGGCTGACTACTGTCCATGCCAGGCAGGCGTCCATGGTACAAAGGATCTATGATGCATTCAGTATCCACTTGCTAGGAACCAGAACAACTTTGCCTTTCTGCTGAACATTAGCAAGGGTTGGTATGGCTAGGGAGTGACAGTAAATAATTCTGACAAATTTCTCTAAAATATGACTCCTAATAGGCCAAATGTACGATTTCATTTTATTTTAAAAGTATGATACATTTTAATTAATAATATGGGTTTTTTTTGTACTAATCCCAACATCAAAATGCCCAATGAGGTAGCTTAGTAGGTAAATCCATTTGCTCACAAACTGAAATTTGCTACCAATAACCCACACGGCAGAAGGAAAGAACCAAAAAGTTGCACCATCACACCTGGGTCCCACGCTCACTCCTGAATATTTTTTTAATTTAATGGTACTTAATTTCTTAATGAAACTGAAGATCCGAGATGTGAATATTCAATATTTGACAGTCTTTCCTATTATTGTGAAGAATGTCAATAATCTGGGACTAGTCAGGCAAATCATATTAAATTTGTAAGTGTTCAGAGAAATGTTTGAACTTCCTTCTCTTTTCTTCTGCTCATTCCTCTGCATCATTATCTTCCATTATACTTATTTGAAGATTTCTCATCCGGTCTTTCTTGATTTCCTTTCAGCCTTGCCTCTGTTATCGCCATCTCTAAAGACGGCAGACAACATGGTATATTTGAAGGGAAGCGTTCATTCTCCCAGCCTTATCTTTGATCCTGGTAGTTACTAGAGTTTAAGCATAAGTCATGGATAGGAAGAGAAATCCATCCTAGCAGTCAGTGCTGTTAAATTTCAGGACCAGCAGCTTACTTGCTCATAAAATATGACATTTGAGTATTTGTCATAATGAATAAAGTCTATTCTGGTGCAATTCATGTAACTACCCAGGAGAAACCTGAGCTGCCCAGTGAGCTAGACAAATGCAGGTATTATTTACAGGGAGCTGGAAATGAAATTGCCCATCCAAATGGAACAGCTCACCAGCATTGCCGAGACAAATACCAGGGGAAAGGAAATGGAAATGTCAGAAGGCTGTGTGCAACTGTTTGTTGGTCTGCATCTGGTTTCATGGCATCAAAGCTGTGTGTTTGTAATGCGCGGCAGACTAACCATAGAATGCGTACTAACATATATAGAAGGTAGTAACACACATTGCAGCTACCATAAGGGATGCTGAGGGACTCTTCTCTTGATAGGGATCACCAGGTGCAAGCTTGTAGGAAAGTCAGAAGACATCTCACACCCTTCTTCCTGTTTCTATCTCTCGTATCTATCTACATCAATACTTCTATCATCTATCTAAATGCCTGTCACCCCATTCTCCATCCGTTTATGTCTTTTCCTTAAAGCTTCATTTTGTTTCACACACTCTGGCACTTTTTACTATCTTTCTTACAAAAAAGGGATAGGGATGGGCCCTCCGCATGGCCACATCTTAACCTAAGCTGCCTAGAAGCACTCTTCCTGAGGGGAAATGAAATTGAAACGTTTTAAAGCATAGATCTGGCCCCAGATGGCCAAGGTATTCAAGTGGTTTTGATTAGTTGTAGCCTGAGGGAACCTCCTTGTGTCTCAGTTTCTTTATATCTAAAATGATGACCATAATAATGTTTAGTCAATGAGATTATTTATAGATTTAAAATTCATGTAAATAGTTTAGAAGTAGGTCTGGCTTTCGTTACCACTATTTGATGTCAGAAGTTGATTTTCACACACACACACACACACACCCCAACCCTCCGCATTAGTAAGAAACAAAGAGGGGGATTCTGCCCAAGCAATATGAATCGATTGAGCAACAGCATCACTTGATGCAGTAATTAAACCGAAGATACTATGAAAACCATTGTCTTAAAGTCAATAAGTTCACCAGACTTGTGCATGTGTGCAGGTTTCCGTGGACGATCGCCTTAAACAGCTCCAGGAAGCCCACAGAGACTTTGGGCCATCTTCCCAACACTTTCTGTCTAGTAAGTATGAATAACTTTGAGTGAACTTGTCAATTAAAAGTATTAGCAAATTCCTTTGGTTCTGCCCAAGAAGCTATATTCTTTGACATAACTATAATTAGAATAAAAATGTGTTTAAGAGAAGATATTCATAAAATATTATGTGCTGCTTCTGTAATGCAGTATGCAAATTTGTCTTGAGATATATGTTCTCATGTAAACATTGTTTATGATAACTAATATGGTATAATATCATTGCTTGATCATGCAAAGGTTATGGATTTTTTCATGCCAAAAATTTATTCTTTAAGATTTTGAATTAGTTTTCTGCCATTTACAAAAAATATGCTTATTTTTTTTGAGCTGCATGTGCATCTTAAATTGCTAACATACAGAACCTTAAATGAGGAAATTTTGGATTACTAGGCTTATGGTATTTGTGTGCAAGCCTTTCTTGTGGGCAGATGTTACAGATTGAGTGTTGCATATAGACAGTTAATGGAGCATCCTCTAAGTGGAATTTTTAATTTTATGCACACTTCATGAGGATTTAAATAAATAATTTCGAACCCTATCTTATTTATCATTTACCACTAAGGATATTTAAGAATGTTGAATTTTGAAACTCCCGGATTGAGTATAAATTCTGTCTTTTACCAGACCTGAGGATTTTTTGAAAGTTAATTCCTTGGTCTCTGCATTCCTCTTTACTCAGATGGCCTCAAAAATTAAATGCAAAAGTCTGTCAAATTATACAAAGCAGCCAACCCACATCTTGGCACAGATGCTTTTAGCACATATTAATGCCTTTCCTTTTATTTCCTATGGCAAGTATATGGAAGAAAACAAGTTGTGTAATTTAATTCTATCTAAATAAATTTTAAGCTTAAGGCCAAGGGTATTTCTCAATTTTGGTAACTTTATTTTATCTAGAACCATAGAGAATGGTGAAGTTGAAGTCCATGTCTCTTGACTAAGTTGATTCCATTGCTATTTTATTTTATTTTATTTTATTTTATTTTATTTTATTTTATTTTTGTCACTGAGACAAAACTAGGAACCTGAACCAAAGGTCAGAGTTTGCTTTCACATTCTTGAGAAGTTTAATGAATCATTTTCTGTCCCCTAACTAACACACACACACACACATATTCAGTTCCTAAACTGAGTCTGTTGGTGTTGGTATCTGAGTAATGTACAGTCCTTTGTAGTGGGTAGGGATAGATTTTTTTTAAAAATGATTAACATATGGATGTCATTATTGTTGAAATAAATAGGTGTTTATTATACTCATTAGATAGTAAGTATTATAATTTCTATATCCTATGAATATACCAAGACCAAATTAATGAGGAATTTGTAAATAATTGAGATTCTCTTTCTCGTTCAAATGATCGGTTAGCTGTTAATATTGATGAAGCCCTAACTTTTCACCTGGCCACCTCTCCCATGGAAATCTAGCCAGGGCCCTGAAGACAGGAAGTGCTGTAGGACTGGCATACACTTTGTGGTGCAAAGCACATGACCTTTCAGTGTTTAGCAGCTGACAGTCCAAGAAGCTTGCTTGTTCGAATCAATAATTATTAAATACACGAAGACGTGTGAGTGCAATTCCAATTAGTATATTTAATAATTCTTCTCCCTTGCTGCTTAGAGTCTTCGGCTTGATTGTGTTCCTTGGCCTTTATCCATGGTTACTAAAGAAGCCTGTTCCTTGAGGCACATAATAAAACCTGACCTGTTAGCCTGGAGCCAACACTAAACTGAGGCCGACTCTCCAGAGAAATCTAGTATACCCGACTCCTCCTTTCCATGCCCATTTGTGAACTTCCACGGACACAGAAACATGAGTGCTTGCCTTTCATCGAGACGGGAGCCAATGTTAAGGAGGCAGTTTGCTGAATTAGTGTTTGGAAAGGTTGTGTCTGAACTGTACCACTGATTTACTAGGTATACTTAGGACTGTTATTTTCGTCTGTGTATACTAAGCTTCCTCTTTATCGAATTCAGAGTCAGCGTGTGGATCTTGCTGCCTTTTTAAAAATAAAATATGGACCGGAAAAGTTTGGCAAAGTTTAGAATGTAAGGTATCAATGTGCCAAGGAATTAAGAAAAAAAAAAAAATGGTGACACACGTCTACGTGATGTCTAGTGATACTTGCAAAATTTTATTTCGGTTTTCCTGATAGCTTGCTTAGCAGAATTCCTCTGGCTCTGAAGTCATGTGGGATATTCTACTTAATAAGTTTTTAAATACTTGATTTACTAAGACAGTCATGTATTTTTACAAGTAGTCAATAAACAGAATTGTGAAAAATGAAGTATTTCCATTAAAAGGCAGAGCATCCCAACCATAATGATTTCTACTACAAACATGGAAGCTTGTTTTCTGTATAACGCAGATGAAAATAAGTGTCTAATAGACTTCTAAGAGAATTGGCTTGGCTCATAAATACCCTCGCCTATTTTTATGTTAAGTTTTCTTTATAAAAGCTTATTATTGAGTACCATCTGTTCTTAATAGCTATGCATATGAATATGGTACAAGTTGAAGAATATTATTAGTGATCTAGAAATTCAGTCTTGAGAATTATGGGTTTTAATCTGAATATTCAGTATATAGCAGCGCAGTTTGCAGATGGCACTGAGCTCTGTGCTGTAATGGTTATGAACAATAACCGGATTCTGTGAGAGTGTTTCTATCAACAGGTTCCGACAGCATCGCCTCTGGAAGTTGAGTGTCTTGGTTCTTTCCTCACTCACATGAATCTTTAAAGCTGTTCTGTTTGGCCTCGAGGTTTTCCTAATTGCAGGAATCCAGCTTAGGCCCAGAGCAGCGCTCTCATCTGCTTTGAAACGTGTTCAGTTGTTTTGTATTAAGGTGTAAGACTTGCTGCTTCCAATAACTTTCCTTTGTTTCCTCAGCTTCTGTCCAGCTGCCCTGGCAACGATCCATTTCGCATAATAAAGTGCCCTATTACATCAAGTAAGTTGATTGCAGTTCTTCTGTAAGTGCCAAGAAAATAAGTTTTTACCAAATAGCTTAAGAACTCTTCCTCCCCTGAAACTTGTTTTGTTTTTATTGAGATTTGTTGTTGTGGTGGTGGTGGTGGTTGTGATCGTTGTTTTGAGATAAGGTCTCACTATGTAGTCCTATCTGTTCTGGAACATGTTTTGTAGACCAGATGGGCTTTGAACTCAGGGAGAGTCACCCAGCCTCTGCCTCTCAAGTGCTGAAATTAAAGATGTGTATCACCAAACCCAGCTCCTTGTACTTTTAAAAACAGAATTTAACCCTGTTACCTAGAGGAAGCTATGCATGATTACCATTGGCAAGAAATTAGCTTCAAAATCATAGTGTTGTTTTTCATTAGGTTTTCCTGGCCTTGGGAAAAGGTAACTGAGTCACTGTTCTGTCACCACAGTTATCAACCTTCCTCCTCCTCATCCACCTCATCATCATCATAATATTTTTTTTCAACCTAGTTTCTCTTTTCTGTTTCTTCTTTTGTCCCGTTTTCTGAATCCTTTCTAGTTTACTCGCCATCTTATGACGCCGATCCTCAGCTTACTCTGTATTTTGTCACAGACTGGAATGATAAATTGCTACTATTATCCCTAGAAGTGTAAGTTAGGGAAGCCGTTGATTTACAATGCAATCTAGCACTAAGCATTGTCATCGACCCTATTATGTGTAAGGAGAACCAGATTGTAATTCTGAGTGTGTGCACCGAGTATCAGAAGACAGCTCTGGCTCACATTAGCTGTGTGGCCTTGGGCAAGCAGGATAAAAATTTCTTTACCAAATTTTCTTTATATCGTGCCTGAAACAGAGTGTGGTCCCTTGAAGCCCTATGCCAGCTCTAATTGACTTGTCGGATTTTTCTTTTGTAAAAGCTTGTGAAGACAGTATTAATGGGATTGTGCTTCTTAATGTACCTTTCCTTCTATCCTAAAATCTATCCTCTTTTTAAAAACAAACTTGATTGTCATCATCTATAAAAATATATTAAACAATATTGTTAGATTGCTTTATGAGAATGTAATTCCTTTAAAGATGTCCAATCTTAAAATCCTGAAACACGGAATATGTTAGGTTGCTCAGCTGGGTAGTCTCCAGAATGTAGATCACCATAGGCAGATTATCCTGATAGAGTCAGTAACATCATGGAGGCTTTTGAAAGGGAAGAGTGCGGCGAGGAGAGGCCAGACTTAGGAAATTACAGATGCAGCATTGAAGATGGAATAGGAGAAACGTAATCCTGGAATATGGATGCTGTCAAGAGGCTGGAAAGGACGGAGTGGGGTCCCTGTAGACCTCCCGGAGGGGAACACATCCATGCCAGACTCAATGCCAGCCTTTGGAAGTTTTTGTGTGCTAGCATTAGAAAATGGGTATATACACAGTGCCACGTCTTAGAATCGCATAAAGATTGATTAGAGTTAATTAATGAATTGGAGTCCTCTATAATCAGATTTTATTTTTTTTAATGTAAGACTGATATAGTATAAATGAGTTTGTTTTCATTGGATAAAGATAATAGGAAATATCTTACTCAGTGTGTAGGGTAGGAGGCGGATTGCTATAGCTCACCTTTAGTATAAATACTGCTGTTAGCTGAAGAATTTCTGTTTGTCCATATCACCAAGAATTAAGTAGTGGTTAGACTTCCTCTAACCCAAGAGTTTATATTGGGATCTGGTGGGAGATTATTCTGGCTCAGACTCAGTTCTTACAGAGAGAAAATATGGAGGAGAAAAGTTAGGTTATCTGACATCTTGTTTGGCCATAACCAACACTGGAAAAATAATATAAAATGCAGCAGTGGCAATTCTTTAATGATGTTCTTGAGGAGCAAACCTTCCTATCATGTGTTGCTTCTTTAGTACATATCGGAATTTCTTTATTTTATTTATTTATTTATTTATTTTTAGTAATTATTTGCACTCTCACACGTGCATTCTGGCCATTTTCATCTCCCAATTCTCTCTTAACCTCTTCCCACCTCCATCAATCCCCTTCTACCAACACCGGTTTCTTATCTTCTTTTTATGTCTTTCTGTGTTCTTTTCGTTTGTACTTGGTGACTCAGGTTGTCCTTTATGAGCATGGGTCTGTAACTGTCCACTAGAGAATGGCTCCTTTTCTTAAATATATGTAGATTTAGTGTTAAACGCCTTTCAAGGTTTTCACAATTTAGAACAAATTCTCCTACTTTGTGAAACACATTTACCTGGCATTTTTTCATTAGTTACCCAGTTACACAGCTTTTTAGTTCATTTCCCCATAGAAAAGGGAGCATTAAACTTGGGAGGTAGAGTTAAGGAGCCAGTATTTTAGAATTATTATGAAAGCCAAATTTAATCCTCAGATAAACTCATAAGCAAGTAAATGATAAACGAAAAGCTTTTAATGTGTACTTTCCTTTGCATGCCTGTACAAATAAGGAGAAGAAAAATGTTAAAAACCTATTTAGCGTTATTGTCACAGTATTAGAATTTCCTGGGGCAAATTGAGTGAATTAATTCAGCCAACAGAAAATAGTATCCAAGTGGAAACTTTAACTTTACATTTTAATACATAGAATGCTGGAGTACAGCAAGAGGACTTGAAAGGATAAGTCAAATTAAAGTTATTTATAGTTTGTATCTTAATTGTATAGGTTAATTAAAATATGTATTATGCAAATCAAGGTGGTTCTTTATTAACATTTTGAAGTGCTCTGCAGTGAGTGACATGTTTTTAAGAGCGGCAGGATATAGATCTGAAATGTAAGGACATGTCTAGGTGGCATGAATCTTTGTTAATGCCTGTGTTAGTCAGGTTTCGGTCGCAGGAAGGAATGCCTGAGATGAAATAAATAAGCCCATAAAGCCAAATCAAACTGCAGAGTCCTGAAGCCCAGTCCCAGTGGATATATCTACAAACACTCCCTCACCTAAGGCTCAGAGAACATTGCAGAAGAGCGGGTGGAAAGATTGTAACAGCCAAGGGATCAGGGAGTTTGTTGTGAGACTGTGTCTCCTAGTAACATTAGAAGATACACCCATAAAGTCTAACCAACATGTCTGCCCAAACATGAGCTGAACAAGGATGAAACCAATGGGCATGCCAAGGAGGATGGGGGAAAATGCACATTGCCTCAACCCTACACAAAGAACTATGGGCAACTGAGGAAAGCTGGGAGCGGGAGACTTGGCCCTCTTCTGGGAAGAACGTGCATACTAATTGATTGTCCAGTGCCAAACAGTCAGCATTGAAAACAATACATACAAGTGATATTATATAGACTCAGCAGCTTATATTTAGGAATGTGTGTATGTGTATGCGTATATTCATATATGCTTCATGCAATAAAAAGTAGTGAAAAAGAGGCCATGATTTTGAAGGAGAGTGGGGAGGGGTATATGGAAAGTTTTGGAGGGAAGAATGTTATCATAATATCATAAATAATTGAAAAATATATATATATTAATTAGGGCTTCCGTTGCTGTGAAAAAAACACCATGATCACAGCAGCTTTTATATGGAAAACATTTGATTGGGGCTGGCTTACAGTTCAGAGGTTAGTTCATTACTGTCATGTTAGGGGACATTTTGAGGCTTGCAGACAGACGTGGTGATGGTGAAGGAGTTGAGTTCTACATCTAGATTGGCAGGCTGCAGGAAGACCAAAGGAGCCACTGGGCCTTGTTTGAGCTTCTGAATCCTCAAAGCCCACCCCCAGTGACAAACTTCCTCCAACAAGGTCACACCTAATAGTGCTACTACTGGTGAGCCTATGGGGGCCATTTGCATCGAATCCACCACAGTCCATAAAATGAAAAGGGGGAAGAAAAAAAAAGAGAAAAAGTTTACTTTTACCTTACAGTTCTGCATGTTCCAAGGCATGGTTGGTTGTTCCTCATACTTTGTTGCCCTTTAACAAGAGACATGCCACAGAAGACGCCTGCGGAAGAGCAGAACCCCTGAACTCCTCTTCTCATAGCAAGGAAGCCAAAGATAGGAAGAGAAGAGAAAGGAACTTCAAAAGCATGCTCCCAAATACATAATGATGTCCCGCCAGACCCACCAGGCCCCACCAGGCCCCAGGTCTTAAAGGTTTTATAGCTTCCTTATAATGCAACCTCAGGGAGCAAGCCTTGAACACAGCCTGGGTGAGCGGAAAAGTTAGCCATACTCAGCTGTGTCTTACATTGATGGGCATCTCTGAGCTGTATTTGCTGTCTAGAAAGGAGACTTTCCAAAACAAATGTTTATTTTTTTTTCCAAGACGGTTCAGTGGCAGCTCACCTAACTCTCTAAGTTCGGCAAGTTTGATCTTGGCTCTGAAATACCCCTCACTATGCTAAAGGGTTAGCTCGAACTTTCTCTACCATCACACATACTGGTGTTTCTTTCCTGTTGTTGTCTTACTCCAACTGTGAGTAGATCCACATTGAGTATTTTCTTTAGTCTGTCACCTCTCCCTCTGTGTTTCTGTTTTCTGTTTTTCTCTTGGTATCTCCCAGGGCTCTTTGAGTTCCTTCCTGACCTCTGCAGTGTGTTCTCTGCCTGCTCCAATCTATTGAGTAGTAGAAAATTAGAGTAGAAATTCAGTTTTAGGAGTGAGTTTTCTTTAGCTCCTTCATGTAGTTAATCTACGTGCGCTCTGTAGGTTTGTCCTGGGTAAACTGCTTACATAGTGAAGAGGAGAGAATCAGCGTGAATTTCTTTTGGAATTGTGGACCTAGCTTAGGCAGTACAAGAGCACTGGTTTTTGCCTAACTAAGGGTGAAGAAGACGGACTGTATGGGAAGCCGTAATACCCAGCCAGACATGAAAGTGGAAGCTCCTGGAAGTGTTGATCCGCCAGCAGCACCTTTATGGTCGGGGCAGTTTACTTTTAAGGGTTCTAGAAAACTGAAACCAGAACCAAAGGAGTCCCCAGCAAAGGAATGATGCACAGTGCGAGATAAGTTTGCTTCTCTCTGGAAATCTCCCTA